GGGTGAAGTCTTTATCAACCCAGTAGACCAGACGAGATTCTTTGCCGTTAGATTTAACGTTAATGGCAGCAGTTCGCTTGCCAGAGGAGTCATCTCTGAAGTAGAGGTAGATGTGTGGCGTGGGCTGGCCACGGCCCTCGGCGTAGTAGTCAAACGGGCGACAAGCCCAGACACCGTAGTGGGGAACAGGCATGATGGTTTGGTACTGGCAAAATGTTCTGATTTGTATTTCAGTCACCCGAATCGTCAGTTAGTACTAGTAGTAATACTACTGCCATGATGTAGGTTCAGATCGTTGCTGCCGTCGCCTTCCCCGTGTCGCTATTTGTACTCAGCTTTTGTTTCAAGTGGGGTATGTGAGAGGTTATCCTAATTATGGCGTAAAGGCAAGCTCTCGGTAGAGTAGTATATGTTCTAATTCTCGTATTCCAACCTGTCAGAAGAGAAGGTCTGTGGTGTAGATTCATCGAGACCGACCGCGACCCGAGGGCGAGATGCCGACCGTGAGAGCTGCACCTCGGATCCGGCGGGGTGAGCGGGGCAGAGACCCACCCTGTGAATTTAAGCTCACAACACTAGTCCAGGGTTGGCAACGGCCCCACTAATCTAGTATTGTGACAGTACTGATAAATATCCGGCATATACCTGGCCTCACTGATACAAACTGCGTTCAAAAGTGTCGGGTGTTACTATAGGACGAATATTTGATAGAATTTGATCACTCAATGTCTGAAGGCTTGGAGGAACCAATCAACCTCCTCGAGACCATCATGGAGAATGCCATCTCATGAGACTCTCACTGGGTCCTCATCCATACTAGAATGAGGCCAACACAACTCTTGCCCGGTAAACCTCTTATCACGGCAGGCTTTATCTAACCTCTATATTAATGGAAACCTTTCTCACGAGAGGGATGTGGGAATTGGAAAGATCCTCTTAGTCGTCTGTGGCTCGGGAGGAGCCGTGAAGTAATGCGCTGCTACTACTGCATGGTGACCTTGGCATGCCCCAATTCCCGATGGCGGCCACTTTAGAAGAAAAAATGTGAGTATACAGTGAATGCAAAAATGCACAGCATTTATGCCCAGAAAAACGGAAAGTGCAGCTTCCACTGACAGTTCATACCATGCTTCACACTGGTCATTCACTACGCTTCAATTCCACATATAAACACTGTCATTGATCCAGCTTTGCTATCACCACCACTTCTACACCCTGTTTTCTACACCCCGTTTTCTACGCCCCGTTTTCTACACCCCGTTTCCTGCACCTCGTTTCGTGCACCTTGTTTACTGCACCGCGTTTGCAACTACCGTTTCACTAAAACCAAGTCACCCACGAGTATCCGTCACAATGAGTCACTTGCGCCCGTCAGGTATACTGCCACAAAACAAGGCGCCTGACTACGAAATCAGACTCGTTCTCGAACCAGCCGAGATCCTCACCCCAAGCATCGAATTGAAAACCGACGTCCAATCTACCTTCAACATGCAGCCGAGCCCCACCATGGAGGTCATAGAATTTCTCGACACCCCAACCAAGGAAATGTTCGGGGCCGGCTGGAGCGTTAGCGCCCGCAAAGCTCAAGGCGATAGCGCTGTCGAATTTACGTACAGACATCACTACCCAATCACGAACAGCGATATTGATAGCATTCTCATCCATGCCAATTTGCAGGGTTTCAACAATGAGCCCACCGGTGACAGTCGGGAGTTCAAGGCACAAGTTGAATGGGGTTACGAACAAAAGATGCTCTCAATGACCACCAAGAAGAAGCTAGATGGATTTCTACCCAACGAACTAGAATTCCCTAAAGCAGACACTTTGCGGCAGCTGCTGATCGCGAAAGCGCCTAACAAGTTCAAGCATTGGAAACTTCATGACTGGGGTACTTACGCCTTGCAGCGGTCGGTCATTCATGGCCCGATTCATGTTGATCGCTACTCCGGGTCGTGGGATGGTAAGCCGATCGGCCTTGAGGTATGGCACATGGTGAATGCCTTGGCTGAAAGAACTGATTACATCGTTGAGCTTTCCTTTAAGACGATTAATCGTTCTTCGGCCTCGTCTAAGCAGAGGAAGCTGGTGGATGAAATGAAGAGCAAAGGCTGGCTAGTTGTCGAGGATGAGGATTTGGTAAAGACGGGAGCCATATTGGATGCCTACGCTTTTTGATCTGGCAGCTGTGTTGATCATTCATTACCAACCCTTGTTAAGGCGATGAAGGAGCGAAGTGATGAATGGGAATCTTGGCATTCAATAACTCACAAACCAGCCAGTTTCGAATCGTTCCATTGCCCCTAGCAGGATGGACGTTCTGAATCTTGCACTAGCTTCTAATATTTCTTTTCTTCTGTTTTCTTTCTCTTTATTTCTTTTTCTTTCTCTATCTGATGAGTTTTTAATGGGCTACGTCAGCCACAAACTATCTGCGAGCCCCGTATCTGCAATGTTGTCCTTTGCCAGACTACAAGATCATTGGGATACGATGTGCTAGTCACAATGATGGAATGTCTTTCTTCATCGTTGTAGCCTACTCCGTCGTAATTATCTGGCATTCAATAGATCAATGAAAGTGGGTGCTCTTATACATTATCTCCTTCTGGGTACGGATACCTTCCTAATTCTGCTACCGTAAAGCTAAAATAATTAATCCGATCACATACAATCTTCCTATTAATGTGATATGTCCCCCGTAGCTAATGTTGAGGTAATCCATGAGGTTGCCACGTAACCAGCTTATGCTCCGAACCACTACCCATAGTTGAATTATACCTTCGGCTGAGTTTTCCACACGGATGGAGCTAGTCTGGACCATGGTCCGGATGAGTTGGGTACAGCTTGGGGGTCTGATAGGATAACATATACGAGGTCAGAAGACCGCGAACCTTAACTTTAGAGTTCCTTGGTGTTTGTAGACGGGAAACTCCATGGGAAGGAACTTTAGTACCTAATTCTTACACCATCCGGGTCAGCCAAAGTAACTTTAATCATGTTAGGGAGTTGATCTGCGTGTAGATGCGCAATTTTGCTGGTAGCATCGTTTTGAATCAAAATCATCAAGTTGTGAGATCACTTACAACAACAGAGAAGCAACATATATAATCCTAGTTCCTCTGGGAGGCCTCATGATCCCATAGACCAACACGTAAACGAAAGAGAAGAAGAAAAAAAAAAGAGGCGACACTTTTCAGAGTCTAAGACAAGGTCCCGATACGGATCGAACGCGGGACCCTCCCACAGAGTGCCATGTAAGGCCCGACGCGAAAGGTCAACCGCTAGACCACCCAGGTTTGTCCTACTGTGGGGTTTCCAGATCTTGTTTATATTGAAGGTCCCTGAGCCAGAATAGGGGGGCGTAAGTTACCATTGGATTACTTGGAATACGTGGAATAATACATGCTGAGACATTCACTGCAGCTACGGTCACCTGATCCTTTGGCTTGGAATGTGAGGCGAGGATGGAGATGTGATATTTGCGAAGCACGAAGTATACTACGTTCTGAGAAGGGGCAGGTGTGCTTTATTCAGGTCTATCAATTGTTTGGGTGTGATAGGAGCGGTATTGATGCCACTCGCTGTGAGATAAACTAGAGCATCCTGGGATTTACAAAGACAAATACTCGATTGAATGAGTGATATCGATAATCAATATAGCGATGTCCACCGGGCCAAGATGGTAGTCTGGCCCTTCGAACCCCGCTCGTTTAATCTAACCAAGCATAAATTACCGATCCACCTCTTCAACCGGTGTCCTTGCTACCAGATTAACGTCAGTTCCATCTCGGTGGCGTATTGACGTTAGCTGAGAAGCCCCGTTCCTAATGCGTACTCGGCGTTGAACGGGTGGCGTGCAATTCGTGAGATCCTGGAAACGACTAATGCATGCCACCGAGAGGGGGATCTGTAAGCATCATATCGGAGATTCCAGCTTGATTGATGTCTATTATCACTTCGCAAGTAAGTTGTGATTCGCCAACTTCGGTATTTTATGTCGTCAATATGTGGCCAATCTGCTTGGAGCATCTAAGTTGGATTGTGGTTACATTACTTGAAACTAGTGATCTTCCGACTGGATATAAAAAAGGTAGGCAATTCTAGGACCTCAGCTGCACAGAATTACCGTCCAATGATTGTGGACATCTATATAATTTGTAATAGTAAGGCCCGCAGTAACCCAAGGGACTGCAGTCTAGATCTTACGGGCCGTGCGGGAATAATATCCGCGCGCAGCACGGTTTCCCGATGCCAAGGAAATCCTTATGCGCATAGCTAATTTCAGCGTCATCTAAAGTGTTTTCTCATCATTCCCTGAAGCGAGAACGGCCGATCGTGAGGAGCTGGTGGGGGCCGTGATGGGGGAAAGGAGGGTAGTTAAAATTAACATCAACCCAGTGGCTGAGTCGGGCGTGGTTCATATTGATTGACTAGTAACCAGTTAGGAATTTGATGGTATGTTGTCGGTCGCATGACTCGGCCAGAGAATTTCCCAGTGCGAATCCAACGCTTTCCAGCTGAGGGGTTCGTGCATTAGCGGCTCTCAGGGTTTGACCGTCAAGGAACAGGGCCCAATGCAGCTCGCCACATCTGAAATAGCGCGGGCCAATAGTGATGCTCACTCTAGATGAAGATTCAGACCCCAAGAGCATATCGACAGGGATACCGTTTTCAGCTCGACCCAGAGTGGCAACTATCGCTAACAGGATTGAGGTTTGCTAGTGAGATGGTCAGACATGTGTCTCGGAGAGGAGGGGATAGTTGGTGTTTACAGACCTGTTTGGAAGATGAGGGAACTGTGATGGCAAAACCAAGATATCTGAATATACATAGCTGGGTATGCGATGCTAGTGCTGTAGCTGGGACATAAAAGCTTGTGGAATCGCAGCCCAAGTCAGCGCAGGAAGTAAGAATCCTCTTCTGGTCATTGCAAGGAACAACCTTTCAGAAATCCCTTTCTATCCTTCTCACTCAAACGCGCAGCGCTCCATATTATTGCCATCATGAGTTCCGATCCAGCATCTGCCTCATACTTGTCAGATACCAGCAAGTATGGGTATGACTTTGTCGTGTCCACCACTCAAGCATCTATCAACTCAGGCCTGCTTGAATACCTGGATAGTGACAGTTTACCGGAAATGTACATTTGCTATTATGCAGACGGCAATGCCAACATCGTCGGTGAGATCAGTCTCGATGATGTTGAGGAGCAGTCTGGATATAACCCCTTCGACATCCCCGACGGTACCGACTACGATGATCCTCGCATCACTGCCCTCACTACTAAGGCCAAATTCATCGTGGGCATCCGGATGAAGCTTGGGCTGCCACCAGACATCCTACCCAAAGACCTACCAAAGCCCGTCGTCGAATTTGGCAGCAGTATCAATGACATAACATTCCGCATGTTCCTCTGAGAGTGTGACGTGATCCAGAACTCACCTGCTAGTGGGTTTGGGGGCGCAGGCCAGTGGCAGGTCTGGAGCTAGTCAAGGGATAAGGTATGGTATATCAAGACAAAGATAAGCTTGGTTCAGAAGGAATTAGATAAAAGCCTTAATACTTTATATCTTAATAAAAATCCTATTATACAACAGCAGCTTTGTAATCAGCTAGAAAATTTATTAAACACAACCTTTAGCCTATTATAGTTACTGTTTGACTTGGCAACTGCTAAAGCTAAAACAGTTTCATTATTCGGTGGTGTAGGTGAGAAAGCCTAGACAGTATTAAATAAGTTATAAATCAAATTCTACACTGATAATACCATGGATATTCTACTGGTAGCTGTAACTATAACAGCTGAGCTAGCTAACAGCAGGTCACTAATCATGACCAGTCTTGAGTGTCAGCTTACATTAAATAACAGCAACGGCAGAGTATTAATCCTAGATTTTCTCTGTACAACTGATGGCTATATATAACCAGCCACAATGCCCTTCACCTGGAACTGGGTAGTACCTGCTAATATTGATAGTGAGAGTGGCATCATGGCCATTAATTGTAATACTTTTGCCGAATACCTGAAGGACCACCTGATGGAGATGGTACGGCCCGCCTGTATGAGTGTCGACAAGCTCACGGTTAATGTTCTTTGGAATGGAGTGAACCCCGAATTTTACTATTATTGCTTGATGGTGACCGGCTACAGTCCCCAGACCGCTACCGTCCTTACCGATGCCAGCGACAGCAAAGCTATTCATCTCGAGTTCAGCAGCGAGAAGCTGGACTCGGCTCATCTTGCTTTATACTACTCCAAGCTCTGGGTCAAGAGCAATTATACCTGCGATATTAGCTTTGAGGGTACAAACACAATCCATATTGTCCAGCGCGCGGTGATTTGGGCCGAAGTGCTGGTGGACAGCTCTGGAACTGACGGCAACATCGCTGATTACACCTTGGAGGAAACATATTCCCTATCGGTCGATCAGGCCGGCAATCTGCAGCTGGTGCCTGAGAGCAGCAAACAGACTAATAACTCTGTTGATCCGAGTGTCAATGGCTTTATCAATTATTTCACCAGCATCAATGAAGTCTTTGACAAGCTCGAGAACACATTTAGCGGTTTCGCCGCTGATGAGCTCCAACAGGTCTCCTTTAAGCCCATGTGAAATTTTGTGTTTCCCGGGGCGCAGGTCTTCACCTTCCATCAACCTCGCTTCTCCAACTACGGGGACCTGCTTTGCGACATCACATATGTGAAGCCAAGCACCCAGGCTGCCCCTGCCCGCAAGGTGCTGATGTCTAGCCAGAATGTCTCTCACCAGCTGAGCGCATCGTGCGAGCTGATGCAGAATTACATGGCTGGTAGCCTAGTCTTGCCCACGGGTAAATTCACGGCGCTACAGACAAAGGCTGGTCTAAGTCTGGTCTTTGCTTTTGATACAGCTGGAGCCTTGTATATCTTTGAGGAGCAGAGCAGCATAATATATACAGGTTAGTAAGTGCGTGATCTTTTTTCTACTACACTGCAGAATACCTTCTCAGACTAAACCAATGTTGTCATGTGTTACTTTGATATTGCTTAATGCATGATGGATGGATTTATTAGTCTTATGATGGCAGCCACTGTAAACGGAACAGACCAGCTCTTTGTCTCTTTGCTTAACTCCAGTTCTGACCCCTCATGGACTAGCTCCCCTATCTGGAGCCCTATCCCTTTTGATGCAGAATCATTGTTATCTGATAATACCGCTGATACCCTCACTATCACTGGAATGCTATTCGCTGAGGTATTCGGCAAAAAACAGTATATAATCGTTGATACTGAGCGTGTGAGTGGTGATGCCGCTACCAAGAATATCACCTACTACGTCGTCCACCCGACCGCTGAGGAGGGCTCTCGCTGGGTTAAGGTAGACATCCCTGTCGATGTTGAGGAGACTGCATACCAGAGCTGCGTCGGTCGTGTATACGGCGAACGTATTGACAGAGTTTACACCAGTGGTCAGGCAGGAGAGTCATCGCAGCTGGTGTATGTGCCTCTGGAAAATGTCTATGGGAATAGGCCTCCAGAGCCTACCTGTCTGAGCCTGCCCACCGACATGCACCTTATAGCCATTGCAGTTGCCCGTGATGCCAACCTCAAATCTGACCAGTTTGGTGGCACCGAACTGTATGTAGTTAGTGGTGCTACCCTTTATCTCTGTGATATTGCAGTGTAGTAACAAGGACTTGCTCCTGCTGCCCTGGTTAATAATGACTTTCTCTCCGGCACTGATATGCTATTCGCCATAATGCATGATGGGGTGACCATTATTTAGGGTAAGAATAGTAATAACATTATCTATTATCTTACCTGTCCTAATATTCAGCTGTTGGTCCTGGGAGCTTAGTCTGTATCAGTTTTTTTCCTGACAGGGATTGAGTATCTTTCGCTCTACGTGAATCTTGCCCATGGTGGTCAAACCTTTTTTACCACAGGAGGAGGTATAATCCAAAAAATTATACAGAAATCCAGCACAGCTGGTAGTATATGGCAGCCTCAGCATATTACTTTGGCTGCTACTGTGCCTACGGAGCCTGCGCTCTCATTCAACTCTTATACTACTACAATGCAGGTAGCTGGCACCAACAAGATGCCCACTCGAGAAGTGTTCTTGGCTATTTCCGCTGAGATATCCACACCCGCTTACATCAACGGGCTTTACTACGTGCTTAGTGATACTCTGGTGATTGTGAAGACTGATGCCATGGGTACTGTAATGGTGATTAAAGCCATGGAAGACCTTCATGGTATCTCTTTAACCATGAAGGTAATAGATGACAGTAGCACCACCCTGCTGGTTGTCTGCTTACTGGACACGGCCTGGAAGAAGCTCTTCTAGTTAAACTCTACTGAAAACCTGCATGCTGCTAAAGTGCCAACAGAAATTATTACAGGAGGTGTACTTGAGGTAACTAAGACAACATTATTAATTAACTTGGCTGCTGAAGACAGTAACGTGCAGGCTACTATAGTAACTATAGATCAACTAGACACCACTTGGTCGAGCATCCAGGATAGAAACATACGCGCCTTAGTCAAAAACCGGGGTGTCATCCCAGTTACCTACTACCAAGAATGTCCTGGAAACAACGATCGAGATCTCTTTAACTGGATTGGTATGGCTGCTAGAGATCTCTTCTATTAGTTAGAGACTAGTATAGAAGTCATTATTAAAGTTATTAAGAATACTATAACAGAAGCCTGGTATTTTGTCGCACATATTACCAGTGAGATGTATGCGGCGGTTTTAGATACTATAGAAATTATAATAAATACTGTGAAATAATTATTTAATATTATTAAAATAATTATCAAAGCTATTATCCGCTTTGTCCAATTTCTTTTTAAGTGGGATGATATCCAGCGTATTAAGAATATTTTCTATAATTTTATTATCTTGTTTACCAGGAACCAGATCAGCCAGTTATTTTAAATCAAGACTAATTTTAATTCTAGCATGGCTGCTGTGGAACAGAGTATTAATTTTTAAATAAAAATTAAAAACTGGTTAAAACTCAGAGACTCTGCCAGTAAGATAGCAGCAGAAAACAGTACTAATCTAGTAAAAAACTAGATATTAGAATTACAGCTCTTATCTTTTTATTTTTATAATTATACCAGTGATTTTTTTATTATTAGTAACACTTCCTCAGCAAGCATGACTGAAGACCTGGTCACTAAACTACTAGATATATTATTTATAAAAAGAGAAATTCTGGGAGATTCTATAATTGGCTGAAGACTTTAGCTAATAACTTTAACTTACTAAGTATTAAAGAGGCACTGCGGCGTCTAGCCAGTAGTATATTCATGGATAGTATATTATCAAGTATACAGGTAATTATAAATATACTAATTAATTTTATCCAAAGTTTTACTGATAAGGCCATGTTCCTGTTAGATACCAAACTCCATATCCCCGTGGTTTCTGATATCTTGAATCTTCTGGGTATCCCCAACATCTCTTTTTTAGATCTTTTTATGTAGATTAGAACTGTTGCCTACACCGTCATATACAAAGTGATAAATAATAAACCCTCTTTTCCTGATAATAACAATTCCGCTGCTCTCATCGCCGCCAGCAGCTGGGACGAGTTGGAACAGCTATTTTCGTCAACAGTAACTTCTCCGCGCGTGCTCTCCCAAACCACCCAGCAGTCCATTTACGTGTCTGCAAATGCCATGAGCGGAATGGTACTGTTAATTGGCAACATTGCCCTATTCATGGAGGCTCAGGCACCCACAGCGGGTAACACCCTCAGCGGCTTGGTAGCGGTCATCAAGCTTATAGTTGTGGCAAGCGTGGGGGCCAGCAACCTCCTGGCACCCAAGGATCCCATCCAGGACTCTGGTATGAAGGTGCTTTCACGCGTTTGCTTTGGACTTGATATTGCCACCAGCTTCCTTGGATTCATACCCATCTATGGCAAGCTCGCGGCTACCACGAGCAAGTTCCCTAATTTACTACTGAGTGATGGGCGGGCAGTGGGTGCTGTCTTCAAGGCACTTCTCCTCATTCCCAAGTTGATGGCTATGTCGTACCATTTGTATGAACTCACCAGCGAAGAGGCTGGTGCGGCTCGATCTGCAGCTATCGTGGGCGAGGTAGTGAACCTCACTGGGGCTGTAGTTACAGTGTCGTATGCGGCTGCAGTGAATGATAAGGAGCTGGCAAGCCGACAGGTTCCGATCGAGGTTATGACGCTATGTGTTGATCTTTGGTCTGGTTTACTGGTCGCCGAATCAATGATCCATTGATGCGGAGAAGATAGTGTATGAGGGGTAACTGAGCTATTAATAGTGCCCTAGATATGTTCAGTTAGTGGAATTCAATTGTTCCTTCGCCTAGCCCGTTTTCCAAGACGGATAGTGCGTAGACGTCGAGGACAGAGCAAATCATCTTCTCGGAAGCACGATACTACCCTAACATGCATCAAACCTGCATATTATCTCCGAACCCCTCCGGTGACAACTCATACGAAGCTACTCCACTTAATATCATAACTCCCCAATATCTTAAACTTGACTCACTAACCTCCCTCTTCAAACTCTCGTTTCAAACACCAAACAAATTAGGATGGCCACCAAAAAAACCCACCCCGTCATCCACCACCGCCAAGCCATCACCTCCCTTCCCCCCGAATCCTTTCCCAACCCCGCCCACGGCCACCTAACATGGCGCACTCTCCTCTCCTCACCTCAAACCCCCACTTCCGACATGTGCGCCGGTCTAGCAGTGTGTCCTCCCCGCACGGGCCATCTTTGTCGTCACCGCCACTCCCAAGCGGAGATATACTATATTACTTCGGGATCGGGACATGTCTTTATCGATGGGAACGAGTATGAGGTTTCTGCGGGCACGGTCGTGTTTATTCCCGGGGATGCCGAACATGGGGTTGTTAATCGGGGTGGGGAGCCGTTGGAGTGGTTTTATGTCTTTCCGACGGGGTCGTTTGGGGATGTGGTTTATCGGTTTGAGGAGGGGATGGGGGTGAAGGAGGGGGAGGGGAAGGTGAGGGCTAAGATATAGGGGTTGGGGTTAGGGTGACTGTTATACTGGGGGCGAGGAGGTGTTCATTGGTAACTGTTTCGGAGGTTTGGTGAGGTCTATAGTTGATATCGATGCAGTACTTGTCTGTACTGCACAGTTTCGTGAATGGGCCCGCAGAAGCCAGTGAGTACGTAGTATTGAGCATTGGATCTATTTTCATCTCAAATTCTCGCAGAACCATGACATGAATATACGTAGGTTCAACGCATCGGTAGGCCTAGCGATGAAGCCTCCAGAAACGCAATCCTAGAGTATCAACGCTTTATCAACCTGCGGGTGTTTCGTTCACAAATGACCTTGCAAGCCGGCAAAAACCCTACATCGAATAGAAAAATACCTTTGTATGTAAGTTCAACCATATAATCTTCGCTGGGATATGATTAGTTTTGATATGTGTAGTAGTTTGGTTGACTCGCGTATTGTGTGTCGTGTATTATTCCAAGCTGGTGGGCTTCGTATATTCGTGGCACAGGCAGCAAACAGCCTACAGAACTAGAATAGTATTAGTTGCCTACGTAGACTCCAAGTGGGTTGTTAGAAGAAGATAAAATCAACATTATTCCTTCGAAGTAAAAAAGTTCAATTAAAGTTGTAGAGCAAGTAGCATATCCAAAGTGCATCTCAGTGCAAGTGAAGACCATGCTTGCTCAATCGCGCGGCTTGACTTGGAAATATCATCCTCACTTGTCCCCGGGGCAAGGCTTCGCTCCTCTTCTTTGTCATTTCACGAGCAGATTGCGCAGCATCTTCATCCTTTTTGGTTAAGCCTTGGGGCAAATATATCCCATCATCGGCATAATTCAATCTATAGATATGCAGATGTGACAACAACGGGAGTTTGCGGATCTTTAGGAAAAAGTCTCTCCATTCACCCGTCGAGAGAGATACTCTGATGATGTCCAGACTTACCAAGGTTCTCTCATAGTTGAAAATCCTTGCTAGAACTTCGAATGGCGCAGTAAATTCATCTAGTTCAATGTGCTCAATTGGAGCGTCTGGGTGCAGCCAACTTTCCCGATTATAGATTTCAGGATAGTTGGCGCAGGTGCTGATACCCACTAGGCGGATAGATCTTAGCCCACGGCCAAGGCGGAAAAGATGAAGGAAATCTTGGTCTACGAAATCGTCCATGATTTCATAAAAGTCAGAGACAAACGTGATATCGATGTGTTGAAGTTGAGGCAGGTATGTGCGTAGGACGCCCTCGAGCCTGCGGAGACAGGGGGCCAGATATTTGAGTGAACTGTACGCCGGTAAATCGATTTTGAGTTCTCTTAATCTGGGAAGATATCGGTGGGCACATTCAAGAGCCAAGAGCATATATACCACTGCGTGCGGGTATTGGCTGCGGTAGTTAATTTCAAAGTACTGCAATAAAGGAAGTCTTTTAAGGCATCGAAAGAGATTGTTATGAGGTCGTTTCACAGCCTTAGCGAACCAATCAGAGGAGAAAACTGTGAGGGAGCGGATGAATCGACAAAGGTCGCTCGTAAATATGGACTTTATGCTGCTCGGAGACTGCACCCGGAGAAGTTGAGGCGTCTCTAACAGGCGACTCACACTCAAACGTACTGCACTTAACAGAACTCGAGTGGCGCTTCGATTGAATGACACACTGACTAAACGCAGGCACATCAATCGTGCAATTCGGTCTTCAGCCTCTAGGCCATAATTTGCAAAGAAAAGCGTAACCTAATTCATGTTCAGCAAGTCACGGTAGCAAGACAGAGACAAAAAAGATTCACCTCATCGTAGAGTTCCTGGGGAAGTGATGAAATACCACGCGTGTTTTCTTTTCCGGCCATGATGGGACCACCAACAGGCACCGGTGCGGATGGAATGTCCATTCCTGAAAATTTGTGTGATGGTTGGTGATGATGTGGGAGACGGCGGTCTGCGAGTAGTGCTAGGAAACTTGATTGGGGGGGGGGGGGGTGCAATCACACTATCGTAAGTGGCCACCCTTTATGACAGAACCTTTATCTAATAACTATGTGAAAAGCTCAAGTTGATAAAATATCCAAGTAAGAATATGAATTCTATGAGGTGACTAAGCTATGACTAGTGCGTCATGGCTGGAGTGTCTGTAAACTTGTGATTTTCCATGGACACCCATGATTTAGGTAGCGATGAGTGCCTCGACATCTACTTATATTGAATGGGGCCTGAGTCTGTCAGGTGGAAGGCTATAGTGACATTGTCTGCCTCCCAAAAGCCTACTCAGAAGGCTTTCAAATGGACATATAACTAGTCACAGACAAAGCTGGAAGATTTGCATAATGATGTACATCTTCTCAGGAGTGGTCTTCGAAATCTTGCAACGCTCTTTTTTACCCAAAAAAGACACTCCGGTGGCACCAGATCAATCCATTTTACCTTCACACTAGTATTTTCCTTCATTAAACTCCGAGCCGCCGCTTCGACTTAGATTTCCGGTCCTGTCATTCAGCTGACAGTGACGAAAACATCCAATGTTGAAATGTACTATAAACAGGTCACGTGACAGCTCATCAAGAACATGATGAGTCCTCTACCTCATAATTTTTCCGACGCGGCTTTTTCCGCAGCACCCGCTTACCTTCTCCTTCTTTCCATCATGATTTTGTGGACTACGCTGTCACAAACGGTATTCAGAAAACTTCATGGACGCGGCATCATACTCGACCCGAATTGCCCAAACCAAAGCCGTTGTTCCAACCCCTGGCCGAATCGGGTAAGCATGTCCGAATCCCTTCACGGCTACTATAATAAGCTCGACTATGAACCAGTACTTTGATATATTGCGAGACAAGAAGAAGGCTAAAGAAAGCGAAGACGCATTTATCATTTTTCCTATGTAGCTGCGAGCACTACCACATTGCAGAGGCCCATAGCAGCCAATCATGGCTTGTCTTTACCTCATCATTTTACGGTACACACTCAGCAGGGTGCTACTACCTTAGTGTGAGGGTCTGCCGCGCACAGGATATCGCATGGCCAGGGGAATATCCGAGGAATCAAACCAGGTGTTCGTGAAACCAATGGTTGGTGGGCCGTTCCTCGTTTAAAAGCCAAGCAGGGTCCAATCCGATCCAAAGTGGAGACACTCGCCAACATTCCTGTTTGTCTCCTCTCGGACTCTACCCTGAATTCCTCTCAATGCCCATGTCGACTTGACAATTCCACACACCGTCAAATTGCAGACACAAATTGTTACTCTGAGAGCACGCCTCATCTCGGGCTCTATAGCCACAATAATACCGAGGACTTCTTCCCTTGGCCCGTGCAGTTCGGGTGATGGCAGGCCGAGTTAAGCAACATCTGGAAAGATCGGCGCGCGGTTAATATCGAACCGTGTGGAGACAGGGGCAGGGCAACGTTGACTTGCGTCAGCTCGTCCTATGGCGAGTCATGCCATGTCAGGATATCCGTCAGCAGTCCAACGGTCATTGAATAATGTCATTCAGGGTGACACTCCTGTTGGTGGAACCTAGGAAAGTTTTGCGAAATCTAAACAGTTTCTCCAGGGTTTCCGGCTTCAAGGGGAGGGGCTTGCAGACATAGTTCCTGTCGATCATCGGAGAAAGTTGGGCTCTCCCGGCCGAAGGAAAGAGTATAAGACCATTGAAGCAATGTTCCCCGCCAGAGAGAGTATTAGATCTATCACGCTCACTTAACATTGAGCATTATTATCTTCGACAACCGGCACCATGACCTTGTCAAGCTCCTTTCTCGTGGCAACTTATCTTCTCTCAATTACCAACTCGGTCCACGCCCAACTCACAGGATCTGTTGGACCCTTGACTTCCGTCTCAGACAAGGCCGCCGTCAAGACGTGCAACGTCCTCGACTACGGAGCCAGCTCAGACAACACCACGGACGTGGGACAGCCCATCATCGACGCTTTTGCCGACTGCGGTAACGGTGGTCTCATTTACGTCCCTGAGGGCGACTATCTCTTGAAGAACTGGATCTCTTTAGAGAATGGCTCTGCTTGGGCTATTCAGCTCGATGGCGTCCTCTACCGCGACTCATCGCCTTCTTCCCAGTCATACATGTTCGAGATAAGCGGTGGCAGTGACTTTGAGCTCTTTAGTTCAAACGCAACGGGTGCGATTCAGGGTAGCGGTTACCTTTACCACCGCGATGATACTTACACCGGTCCCCGGATGCTGCACATTTCCGATGTGTCGGACTGGTCTGTTCATGACCTGGTGTTGGTTGACTCGCCCATGTTCCACTTCGTCATTGACGGCGGCTACAATGGAGAAGTGTACAATATGGCTATCCGCGGTGCCGACCACGGTGGTTTGGACGGAATCGATGTGTATGGTGACAATATGTGGATTCACGATGTGTGTACCGCTGTCCCTTATACTTCACTTCATTTTGTTTTTAGCTAAGCTAACGATATGATAGATTATGGTTACTAATAAGGATGAATGTGTCACAACCAAGGTGAGTGAACTGCGATATCTTGCAACTGCCAAGCTCCTAATTCCAACCGCAACAGACCAACTCCCACAACTTCCTGATCGAAAATATCTACTGCAACTCCAGTGGCGGATGTGCCATCGGATCCCTCGGTTCCGGCGCCAACGTCAGCAACATCGTCTACCGCAATGTCTACACCTGGGACTCGAACCAGATGATGATGATCAAGAGCAATGGTGGCTCGGGCGATGTATCCAACGTCGTCTTTGAGAATTTCATTGGTACCTAACCCTATCTTTTCTCTAGCATTCTCCACCACACATACTAATGATGGAATAGGTCATGGAAATGCCTACTCCCTCGACCTCGACAGCTACTGGAGCAGCATGGATGCAATCGACGGTGACGGCATCTACTACCACAACATCACATTCCAGAACTGGACGGGAACCGCCGTCGATGGCGAAACCCGGCCGCCTATCCGGGTCATCTGCCCTGAAGACACCCCTTGCACCGATATCAGCCTCGTCCAGATCGACTTGTGGGTTGAGGAAGGCGCTTACGATGAGTATGTCTGCAAAAACGCCTACGGATCCGGCTACTGCCTCGACTCTGCTACTGGCACCACGACTCCCTATACTACCACGACTTATGTGAACTCTGCTCCGACGGGATACGAGGCCCCCACTATGACTGATGATTTGGCCACCGCTTTCGGCACGTCGGCTTCCATACCGATTCCTGATATTCCGGCGTCGTTCTTCCCTGGTGTCACGCCTATTAGTGCCTTGGCTGGGAGCTCTTGAGGGGTTACAGGGTAGTTACATTAAGTAGGAGAAGGTCCAGTTGATGAGGATACTGGATTGGCTTGTCGTACTTGCTTGAGGTATATTGCCAGCTAATAATTATAATATCACCCTAACCCAGATATTTTGGGGTCTAGTCTAGTCAGTCTATACTTAAACACGGTGCACGTGGCATAAAACTCCTAATGACTACGTAGAACCTTTACAACAAGCGGCTTTTTATCCCAAAACCACCATATCCCCTGCTCTTCCCAAATCGGCAGCTCCACACTTGTAGACAGATCATATTTCCATAGAAGTCGCGCCAGAATAAGTCTCAGTTCCATCCACGCCAGATTCTGTCCCGGACAATTATGTGGTCCCAGCGAAAAGGGATTGAACGCTTCCTTCTGTCTCGCACTGTCTCCACGGAACCGCTCGTCTTCTTCTAACCATCGTTCTGGCGCAAATTCATTCGGGTGGGTGAAATTCCGTGCTGCGCGGTAAGAGGCAAATGGAGGGATAGAAACAATCATCCCATCGGGTACAAACTGGCCGGCTACGGTTGCTCCACCGCGCGGGACCTGTCGGCGCATCGCGTCCGGGATGGTGGGACAAAGCCGCATTCCTTCCATGAGGACTGCATCGAGGTATGGGAGAGACTTGAGCCGGGTGGCTGTTATGTCTTGCTCTGTGGAGAATGTCTGGCGGAGAAGGTCCACCAATTTCTGTAGGGTCTTTTGGTCCTTCTCTCGCAAGAGGTAGTTGATGATACCTGTGATAAGGGTGGTGATTGACTCGCTTCCCGCTGCGACGATCATCATTGAGTTGACTTCCATTTCTTCCTGCGTCATGACCTTCGAAGCTATCATTGTTCCCACGAAGTCTGGGTGTGTGGTTGAAGTAACACCGGCTGAACTGGCTGCTACTCGCTGTGCGACCTTTTCGTCTGTGACTTTCCACATCTCCATCACTGGTTTTAGCGCGTCTGCAGGAGTAATCGCCAGAAGTAACCGGTAAAGCAGAGGGTAGAACTTCATCGATCCGACAATAATAGCAGCTTTGAACTGACTAACTGTTTGCACCCACGGATGATACTGCAGTCCCTCCAGACATCCGAATGAGCTACCCCATGTCAGATCGCCGATCACATCAAAGGCGAGGTAATTGATCCATTCCACAAGGTCCACGTCAGCGCTTTTCTTTTCGCTTTTATTAGTAGAAATTTTTGCATCGAGCTTGTCGAATAGCGTGTCAATGTATTTCTGGACAATCGGCTCTTGCAACGCGGTAAATTTCTCAGAGAACCCCTGGGCGAGAGTCTTGCGAAGACGGGCATGTTCTTCCTCCGAGCATGCGATCAAGTTCGCGGCAGTCTTGCCGGGAGGCTGGTCCTTGTATTGGTGGGGACGAACATATTCGCGGTCTGTGTAGATGTCGCGCCAGGCTCGGGGGTCGAGGAAAGACAGTTCGTCGGGGGCAACCCGGACGATGTCACCGTATTTGGCGTGGAGGTCGCGAATGCGATGGGGTAGATGACCACTGATGTTGGCGTGGATGAAAGGGAAGCGGAATGCGCGCCAGAGCAGAGGACCGGGGTAGATAGAGAGAGGATGGAGGTAGAGGTTGTAGATGATGAGGGTGGTGAGGTACTGTTGCTGTCAGATATGATGTGCGTCTTATGAATTAGACAGACTTACGAGAATAGAGAGAAGGGCTACAATGGCAATGAGGGCCATTGTGCTGAGTTTGCGGTGCTAGAAGTGTTGATTAATGGAGTAGAAAGGATTATGAATCGGAGGATAGTGAAAGGTCGTGCGGGCGATGGGGTGAAAATCCCCCGGGCGGCAATCAGGCACAAAACAGCACGAGTGGGGATTTGTTCCAACGTCTGAGCTATCTACTACTAGTACTTATTTAGTCTAAATTAGACTGCATGGATGATTGGTTGAAGCCGAACCGACCTGCGGTGCAGTTCTCTCCGGTCAATGATATAAGGCCAAAGCATCAGTAGATCCCCGCAGTAAGCACTAGCTATCATTAGTGTCAGTATTACAGACAGCATCTCAGCCTCGCGGTGAACAGTGATATATGGAGGGAAATTTCCACTTCTCTGCCGCTCATTCTGATAAGTATCGTGAGTGGCAAGTGTACCCACGCAGACCTTGCGTTTTTCATGTTGAGATTCGAGGGCAATCAGACACGGCATCCCGTGAGGTTCTCCCATCCAACGCATTAGCAGAAAGCCATGCTGGTGAGTAAATCGGTCAAGAAAATTGATCGGATGCTGATGGGTGGGGAGGGAAATGTAGAGCACCTGCTTATTATTACGGATGGGTGAGATGACAAGCTATTATCTGCAAATATTAGCCAGCGGAGTGATGCCGATGTTGATGATAGTGACGCATAGTAGCTGAAGCAGCAGTATTCAGACGAGGAACAACATATATGTTGAACCGACAAGTTTTCATGATAAATTCTCATAAAAATTATTCTGGCGCTTCTAACTTGTTCTGCGTTTCCAATATCCGTATTTCGGCTCATCCAATTCGCCCAATCTTCTAAACATGGCATTGAAATTCGGCATGGTAATAAGGCCAAAATAGGGATGAATTCTGGGAAGCATTGTAGGAGGGAATTTCGAGGATTGACTACAGTGAAGCCTTCCTGGGTGAAGCCCGTCAGTGCCAGATCTCTTCTGATCATGAATTGAATGACTGAGAATTGAATGGCTCTGCAGTAAAGTAAACCTGTGTGCCAAGTGCTTTGCTATCACAGTCTACCAATTCCCTCACATGTCGGCAATTGATATGGTTTCCAATATCCTTCGCCCATGGTATAAACGCAGTCAAATAGTGGTGATGTTATAGTGCCACGTTAGTATTCGGAGACGGCGATGACCATGGTTCCCCAGAAGCATACTAAGATACTGTTCTTAGCTGACGCGGTGGGAATGAAAAAAGATGAAGATTTATTAGGGCCTGAGTTAATGTGATAAGTGTAGTAATGAGGCAGGATACTATCAATCTAAAGCATTCTATGAATGATTCCTTCACACGAAGCATCAAGCTTCACCATTGCAAGCAAGCCAGTCACCGTCTCTCCATGGATATAAATACGGCCATTTTTCCTCCGAAATCTTCTTCCCTTCTTCATCATCTTTCCTTTCGTTGTTTACTCATATTTCTATATTCTCAATGTCCCACTGTCTGAAGACTCAAGTGTTTATAGTATCCAGCTCTAAGTTGCCATTTAGTCCCCACGAATATGATCTACATCAGCTATACTATACTTCAATCCCACGTTTCTGATGCCGAATATTCCTCGTTTGGTCATGTTCTTTGCTGTAGGCGTTGGTATATCAGAGAATACGTCTACCTCCTCGATAAAAAACATCATGTTCGGTGGAGTGGTCCCTTCGCAGAGTATTGCATGATAAGCACTCATTTGCCGCAAAGCTCTTTCATATCTTATGCCGTTACTTCGGCAGTCCTCAGTATTGTGACCCCATGGAGTATTTGCCCGGTCACAATACAACACTTCTTCCCAATTCATACAAGTGAGTGACTGCCTTGTATTTGAGGAGAGCAGGAGAGCACGTGTTGTGCCCCCTGCCGAAAAGGGCAACGGGGCAGCAAACCAGTCATACTCCATCTCGCTTACGCCTTTTTCTTCTTCCCCCACGTTCCCATCTTCTCCCTTCTTCTCTCTACTCTGTTGAGCATCGCGTCTTCGACTCTGATTTCATTCCCCTTCCTTTCACCCTTCTGCTGTGTCCTAGTAAGAAGCCGACTAACTCACTGTATAGGTACGACCCTCATCCCAGAGGGGTATTCTCTCGGTTTCGCTTGTTGATTAGACAACCGTGGAATTCGGGTTCTCAGTCAGACCATGACTGCTCGCGAGGCAGGCTTGCTCCTCGTGAGCTTCGGTCGCTTTGGCTTCTTCGATAATAGTGGTACGTGACACAGGCAGTTTCTTCGAAGTTTTTATAGAGTTTAGTTGGCTGACAGCATGTCTTAGCCGCATCTCGCCAAGAGTGCGGTCTATTTAGGCGAGGTTTAGTGAGCGTTCCTGTCCGGTCCGACACTCACATCTTCCTGTTGACCCAGTAAAAGGCTCTCTTCGAGAGTTTCACTTCGTTGCTTTCTCTGTGTATGTACACGAGCCTCCAGTGACTAAGGGTAAATGGCATTGTACTGACAGGCGCTAGCGGCCTCTCTTCGAGAGTACGATATATTCATCCGAGCGTCTATAGAGGGACTCGTTCAAGCTCTCTTCGAGGGTCTTGTCTTTTTCCTATGTTCTTTGGTCCCAGACGTTTGGTGAGCACTTTGTCTCCAAAGAATTGTTATGTCAACCTGCTGACAACAGTATCAGCCGCTATTCCTTCGAGGATGCGGTATATCTCGGCAGATATCGGTGAGTACACATGTCCCTTTGCCAAAAAAGACTTCATAACAATGCACTGACTATAATGGTAGCGCTTCTCTTCGAGACGTGATGGTCTGCCAAACCCTTTGGTAAGCACTTATGTCTTTCAGATATACCCAGAACCTGGCTAACATGTTTTCCAGCCACTTCTCTTCGAGAATGTGGTTTTCATATCCTCAGCCGCTATCTTCTTTGAAGGTGCGGTTTATCCTAGCAGATATCGGTGTGTACATCTGTCCGTTAACAGGCTTCATCTGGTATTAACCTACTGATCATATTATCAGTTCCTCTCTTCGAGAGGCGATAGTCTGCTAAACCCCGTTGTAAGCGCTCCTGTCTTTCAGATACACCCAGAACCTGGCTGATATGAATCCCCAAGCTACCTCTCTTCGAGAGTGTGGTCTTCTACTAACCCCTGGTAAGTACACTACCATCTATGACGAATAGTCAAGCACTTGACTAACATGATTTCCAGCTGCCTCTCTTCGAGAGTGTGGTTTTTACTTAATCTGTTGTAAGTATAACTGCTTTCCATATTGCCCAGCACTCGACTAACATGATTTCAGCCACCTCTCTTCGAGAGTGTGGTCTACAATCCCTTGCCGGCTCTCTTCGAGAGTTTCGGTTGGATTCCTTCTCTGCCGACCGGTAGGTTGTTCATCACCAACTATTTTTTCCAGCCAAACATGGCATCTAACCATTGGCTTTTACAGACTGAATTCATCGCCTCCATCTGTCACCATCGCTCCGCCTCCGACGCCAAAGTTTGCCATCTCTCAGCCAAAGCTCGCCAACCGATTCCCCTCGCATTCATAGAAGCCAGAGTGTTCGACCATTCTTCAGTCGTACGTGAGATTATCTCGTCTCGGGCGGACATCCAATATATCGAGAGTGTATTAAAGCGACACGACATGTGGGATATGAGCGCTATTGAAAACGACTAGCCAACGACATTGCCAGCAACTTCCAACACCAACAGAACAGCGACTATGCTTAGATCTCTAATACCACTCCATCGCATGACGTGCATGCATTCTGATAGTCACGCAACTGGTCGGGAATTACACAGGCGGCGAAACTCAGCATCGCATTCGCACGCGATGGCCTTTCATACCCATCAGCCCAGGGAAAAAGGGCCGTAACAGGTCATTTGCCAATTCCAGGGAATCTCCCTGGCTATGTACTCTGGCACAGTCAACACAAATAATTATATCAACGTGATGAGAAGAAATCAGTCGCGATGTCGGCAGGGTCCACTCCAATGGCATAAGATGCTCAAACGCGTTGACGTGTGCCAAGATCCTAAGTCCATTGGGTGTGCAGCTTAACGAGTATGGAGTACGCTCAAGAGCTCCGACTGGTGGGATTGCGATCTAGCTATCTCCCATGATTATAGAGACAGCTATAAGGTGGTTACGGTCGCGATGGATTGGATGGTTAGACCGCACAGTCTGGTGCATTACGAGCTCTGGGAATGGGAATGATTGTAAAACTGTCGCCATGGTTCAGAATCAAATGCCACCGAGCACCATTACGATCTCCCACGGCTCTGCGTGGGTTCCCACCGTCTGGTGTTCTTCGAAGATGATGATGATGATGACGACGACGATCGAAGACGACGACGACAACGACAACGACGACGACAATAACAATAACGACAATAACAACGACAAAGACGACGACAACTACAACTACAACGACACCGACAACGATACCGATAATGACAATAACGACAACAACAACGACGATCATGATGATGACGACAATGACACTGACAATGACAACAACAACAACGATGATAACAGCAGCAATGATAACAACGACGACAACGACGACAGCGACCGCGTGTTCTTCATATTACGACCTCAAAGAATGACCGCGGCGAGAAGCAGAGAAAAAATTTCAGCTTTTTCCTCGGTACACCTCCCGCGAGGCCAAACTCAAGCTCGAGCTCGCCCTTTGCCATGACATGATCTTAAAGGTCGGCGACTTTCGATCGGAGAATTCAATCAGTGACTGCAGGACACTCATCCCAAAGGGTTCTCTGGTACATGGGCTCCACATACAATGGCATACCGATCCGCGCTGTCAGACATTTGCGGCACGATGGACCCGCAGCCAAGATTCTCCCCTACAAAATCGACAGAGCCTGGTTGGCGATGCATCCACTCAACAGAGAACCAAGCCTGGGGACGATAATGGTCTCGCCAATGAGGGGGTCTTCAAAATGTCAGGGGTAACTCATCGGGTCCTCAATCCCACCTGGCGGCATGAGGCATGGTGCACAGATATTGATTTTGGGCTGTCAATAGTACGCATCCTTGAGCACGGCACTTTCAGGACAGCGGAGCCGCACGACGGTTTAGTTTTCAACTCGACACAGTTCATATGATATGGCCTGCTAAGATGTCTTACTGGGTGCTTCACTGTTTGAAACAACAATATGATCCTCGACGCTGTCGAGTCCTTCAGGCTCGCTAAAATCACCATGTGATGCAACACAAGGCCGCATGTACTTGGATAGTCGATACTGCAGCTAAACACACAATTAATAAAGAGATAAGCGAGCGTGACAGCTGACATGTCAGTTTCAGTCAGTCACCAGCCTCTGTCTTGGTTGTTTAGCCACTTTAAAATCTTCTATTGCGGCCGTAGATATGTGTATCCTTTCCCATGAACATGACCGGGTTGATCTCAAGAGTCAGAGCATTATAATGTAATTCAAATTACTCGTGGCATATCTACTACTTCATGCGAAAATGTCCAAAACTAAGCGAATTGAGAGCCGTCACTCAGAGTGACTCTATTGCCGGTTCTGTCCTCCAGGTGACAGACACTATCCCAAACGTGCAACGATTGAGGTAAAGTTAGACATTGTCACGTTCATATGCTGACTAGAATTTCTTGGAAGCCTAGATGACAATTACGCAGGCAGATTTGGTGATTATCATTACAGCCGATGGACAGACGATAGCGGATTCAAGCATCTAGCTGATGCCGCCGTACACTGACCGCGTTTCCGAGCTTTAGCTCAGCCGAAATCCTTTCTTGTCATACCTCGCTCCTTTGGTTAATACCCAAGTCAATGCAGAACAACAAGTGCGATCATTCCAGGAAGCACACATCAGTTAGGAATACGAACTACTACGCAAACTAAGCGAGTTTAATAAGCATACCCTTACTGACTTCCTGCACGCCACACGAGGGCGAATCGCTAAAGAACCTCGCTAGTACATTAGTACGACTTAGACGATCTACCACTACGCGCCTCCAGTCACATACGGCGCAATGATATCATCGCTACATTTTGCCTTTTAACATCGCAAAAGCAAAAGCCACAATAAGAAGTTTGAACCACGAACTGGGCCTACCAATAAAGAAGGTCTCATCAGGGGTTCTTGCTAAGGCGCACACTTCTTGCGCATGGAACCGAGCTCGAGGCAGGTAATGGTGGCTAATTTCCCTTGACACTCAGAAAACAGTGACTGCTATACGGAAGCTTCGGCAATAGAGGCTGTAACACATTTCGGAGACCGTCCCACCTGATGATGCCATCCGACAGGCTTTTATTACTCTACAGATAGAGGTAGTCTGCGGCGTTAGCCTGATCCAAGTCCTCCGGAAAATGTAATACTCAGTATAACCAATGTTATTGTCTGCTCAATGACAGCTCTTGATTACAAGACTCTTCTGGTTACTGGGTCCAATAAAGTATGACTGCGTTGAATGCTCAGGATCTTTCACCGGATACTGCCTTCCTCATAAGCAGATTCACGGTATTCAAAGCGATGAATCCACCTGCGGTGGATGCTCAAGGAAGGAGGTTCATCGACGCCACATGAAACTTTTGCGTTCTGAGCTGATCCCATGCATGGGAATACAGCGAGGATAATCTTGCTGAGGCAGTGGCGAAAGTCTTCCACCGGGACGAGCGACTACGAAGCTGACGTAGCTAGCTCGTCCGGTTCCGCATGCGACGATACAAGCTCGATATGGCAATAGAAGATGACAGATAAATGATGACCTAATTAGCCAAAGGATGTTTAAGCTCACGTCCTCAAGCTCGAGGCCGCAGAGCCACGCTATCACCGACAAGTACGGTGGGTCTTTGTCAAACTGACTTGCAGCAGACCAGCAAATAATGAAATAATTAGAACCAAAAGGGAATCAAGGGGGACTACGAATGGTGTGTCGTTGGCGTCTTGGATGAAATATTTATTGACTCAACGTTTAAGATCGCGTCACATAATCTTCTGAGGCGTTCACCTTTCGAGCCTGTTGTGGTGGCTTTTGCTCTTCGGAAAGATGAACAGCTCATTTTTATTTTGAATATGCTAAATATTCGGTCCTTAGTTTTGATATACTCGGGATTTATGCGGCTTCTGTCCAGCAATGCACGAAGGAGCTTGCGATAAGGCAAGTCAATGCCAGGAAGATGAAATTACCACCATTATCCTAATTCTAACGACTAAGGCAATCGTCTTGATTTGTTATCTGGACTTAATTCTGCTAACTTGAATATCAGTTACAACGTCCAAGAAGGGCGCGTTGTATTTGAAGAGGTCCTTGATGGAGAGCCTATAAAATGCATTCTCTCATGCATAATGCTGTTAACCAACTATCGCAATCACAGCCACATCTTCGACATCTTCACTTCGAAAATATACTCTAACAAGCTAGTTATGGTTGCTATGCTGACTGCGTACAGCGCGTCGGGAAGGTATGAGACGGACGTTTTTCATATATTCGCGGAATTGTTCCAACACTTAGTAAAGTGTGGTAGAAATTCGTCGCCTATTCATCAATGTGATCGGCCTTGCTCTTATTGCCGGTGGTAATTGGCCTTGGTCCTACCAGTCGCAGGAACTGGTGGCTGTGCACCTTCTGAAGAACGTGTTCGCCTATCGGACGAATGATGGTCAACATATTCGTCCAAAAGATGTCATGCTTATTTTGCGGGATGCGGGTCTGCGAGCTTTGGTCGGCAGGCTCATTCGTGGGGGTGTGTGGCAATTTTACTAATTGTTGATATATCCTAACTGGAGTTAAGAAGCTCCCATGGTCATCTTCATGCTGACGAAGGTGTCGGGAAATTCCAGCAGTGTTGGTTCAATTGCCGACTAGCAACGGCTCAATGTAGGGTTCAGCCGGGAACGTCAGATTCTGGTCTTTGTTGGGAACCTTACCGTTTAAGCCCCAAAAAAAGGCATTTCGTACAATATTGGTAGGTCTGGTGATAATCGGGACAGATATTTGGTTTAATATTCTTTATGAAATGAGCCAAAGAAGTCACATCACGATGGGAAAGTCGTTGGTTTAACGGTCCAAGAGAATAAGATTACCTGTTTAGCGGAATGCTTGGGTGGATTGCACAATAAATCGATCCGATGACAACTGCACTCGGCCGCGCCCCCTAAGGGTCTGAAGGGTTTCTCCTAAGCTGATTATCTTCTCGATGATCCTTCTTACAGCGTCGTCGGGAGATCCTGTTAGTATCGTTTCTGACATTGAAACCAATCGGAACCATTGATCTCCACAGACACCACAGGTAAAGTTACCCCATCGTCCAGCTCATCAAATAACTGGCCATAGTGAGAGGATTCGCTCTATTTCCTAAGTCCACAAGCCAATCAAGGGACATCGAGGAAGACGTCAGCATGGTGGACGTTGAGAACTCCGAAGGTCGAAAACTCGTACAGCAAAACGGCTGGCTGCCCTCTCCTGTCCTCCCTCCTTGGCCTGCTCGCCAGCGATCCCGCTCTCCCTTTCATCGCGAAGCGACGTATCGCGAGCGGGCTCGCTCCCCTTCGAGCGCCATCGACAACTGGCTGCTCACACGGGGTGGTCTGCCTCAGCTTGATCTAATTCCTCGTGGCAACCTCGTCTCATTGCCAGTCGAGGAACTGGAGAACCAGTATAGGCTTGCCCGCGCCGCTGAAGAATTGGCTGCTGCAAGCGCCCGGCGTACGTGGGTTGAGGAGGAGCTCCGGCGTGTGCGTCGCGACAGGGATGGTCGCAACAGTGACAACCAACGAGATGGTCAGTAGGAAGGTAATATAATTTGCCTACCTAAAATAATGGGTGGGGGCTTGGGTATAGGGGATACAAGGTTGTATGTATCCTGGGGTTGGCGAGGAATTACGAGACATGGATGACTGTCTGTGAGCAGGAATTCTCGGGTGTGGTACATAGAACAGTTCGGAATCCGGGGGTTATTACTATGAGATTTTACCGAGGTGCTAGAATACTCTCATAAAAGTGGATTGAAGAATAGTGAGGGCCTATCGGTGAAAAATTACAATGGAGGATAATATGCGGCCGAAAATGGTTATGAAATTAATCTAGGGATATATGAAGTTAGTCTTAATGAATAAGACTAATGAAGTATGCAAGTCTATTATATCCTAGCTCTTTTGATAAATCTGCAGATAAGATAAAAACCAAGCACATAAGCACCGAACCACGCAGTCCCTGCGCTAGTGTCTAGTAGTTTCCAGATGCGTAGCAATTAAGCTTTTCTGGGGTATTAGTTGAATATTATATACTTTAATTCGATAAACTTTGTCCATTAGTATAAAGAGATTTGTAATAACTTAATGAAGGGTATTAATGTGGACCGACGTTCGATATACCCTTTGTGGACTGTAGTAACAGCAGAATATATATTTACTTAGTAGACAGACTACCTAACTAGTCCATTACTCCCAAAACAACACACGAGAATCCAACATGAATGAAAGACATTATCATAGCTATCCTGGTATTTGATGATGACGGTTTTGAAGACTGAGACCATAATACAAAGAAATCATGTCACAGTCACATGCGGTGATCCGCAAACCACATGGTTGAGCGACGATTAACTAGCTAACTTGACTATCGATCGGGAGCTTAAATTGAAGCTCCCGTGGAACCGACCCGAGGTGGAGCCAGGAAAACACAAAAACAAAAAAACGTCAGCGACAGGACTCGAACCTGTGCGGGCGAACCCAATAGATTTCTAGTCTATCGCCTTAACCACTCGGCCACACTGACTATTTGATGGAAGAAGCAGCATTTAGATGATAGATAATCCACAGCATTACTATCTACCACAGCAAGTTTAACGGTTCACCGACTTCCCGCATTTAGACATCTAGATAAGCATAGCCTACAACTACTCATCTGATCCATTGGTATCTGCTCGAAAGCAACGAAATTGATAGAATGTCCTGGTACTAGATGCTCCCATACTGAGGTAATCAACCAGCCAGACGCCGCGCTGTCAAAGTAACATTCATAAACCCGGCCCATCCCATTCCATCCTTTCGTCACCCGCACCAGGGGCGCCAGGGGAATCAAATCCAAATCGCATCAATCAGAACCCATCCGGCCCTCGCATGCCAATTTTTTCCCGAACCAGGTGTCCGAAGTTCGAAAACAAACAAAAAAGAAATTCCCGCGTTCCCTCAAACATCGCGTCAATCCCAGAAGTGTCGCGTGGTCTCGTCAGTCCGCCGAAGCGCGCATACATATTCATACAATACAGAAGCCGCACATAAGAAATAATGGTACAGACGAAGGATCGCTCAATCATCAGCAAAGAATGGAGGAAAGGAAAAAGAGATAATCAAGGCAAAGCAACAAAAGCAAAATGCAATGGTGGGGAGCATGTATCCACCCCATCAGCGGGCAAACTCGGTCCACACCGTGCTGAGCCACCCGACCGGAACACCGACCTCCGACCGCGTCGTCGCCGGCAGCTGGTCGTATTCACATCCCTCCAAAAACGCCAGCACATCATCTCCGCCCAGGCTGGTCGACCACAACCCGTTGGTGTTGACCGTGTCAAGCCCATCAAGTGTTACCGGTGGTGACGCTCCCGGGTGTCCGACAGAGCCAGGTGGGGGCAGCAATGGCAAGCTGTGTGAAGTAGCCGCATTGATGGGCGGCAGCGACTGCGAATAAGGCGGAGGAGGCTGCTGACGATTGTTCAGCCACGAATTGAGAGGCTGCAAACGGTTGTTGGGCGGCGGTGCCCCATACTGTGAGGACCCTGTTGCCGTCGTTGTTGGTGGGGCACCGTACGGGCCAGGGGGTCCCAGAGATGGGAGATTGGGGGAAGACGAGTTGTATAGTCCTGCGTCAGGATGGTGCTGGAGAGATGGTAGAGAGTACGGAGACTGGGACTGCAAGGAGCGGCCTGGGGGCAAAGGCAGACTAGGCCGTCGCTCCCCATCCGGGCCAGGGAGCGACATGCCGGGGCTATTGATGGGTACCCAAGACTCACGGCGTCCGCCTGCACCATCCAGTGGAGGTTCGCCCGTGTCTCCAGTTTCACTGCGAACAGCATTGCTGCCCGCATCGCTGAGGTTGGTAGCCCGATCGCTGACTGCTGCCAGGCCATCATCCTCCGCACTGTTATCAGGCAGTTGGTCTTCGATGATACCGAACTCCAAGAAAAGCTTCTCCAAGAGCTTGAATTCCTCAAGACCTCCACCAGCGCCGCCTTCACGCACCGGACGAACCCCGTTCATATGCACATCAACGCCATCCATGTCCATCTTACGCGAGGAGCGGCGGAAATCGCGCTTGACCTTAGCGAAATAACTATGCAGCCGGTTGAGGGTGCGGAACCACCCCCGCGCCATCTTCAGACGCAGCCGCATATCGCGCAGGATGTCAAGGGCCTTACGGGCTTGTGCCTGGCCTTGAGTGTTACGGTCTCTTGGAGCTAAAGCGGCATCCGGATCCATGTGGGGGAAATGGGCCGCATACACGCCGATGAAAGCGGCGTTATAGACAGCAAACCCGACGAGAGGGTTCTCGACCAGGACGCCGCGGTCTTGGCAGGTGACCGCCAGATCAATCATCTGCCGGGCGGCATTGAAGAGCTCCCGAGCGCTCTCACGCCAGAAAGCCTCTGCCACACCGGGCTTCTCGACGGGGAACAGCGGTTCGTCCAAGGGCCCAACCGGCTCCGAGCATCGTACGGGTAGGAATGGGATATACGCACGATGAAGGACAATGACCGACAAGAAATAGACCACATGCATGACCGTATACGGGGAGAGCGTGTTCTTATACATGATATGCGTATCCGTGTTCCGTGGAGAGTACTGCAAGTTGCGCGAGAGGCTATCCTGGAACTCGCCCAGCATCGCTCGAAGCTGGGAGAAACGCGAGTCTGGGTGCCATGGGGGCAACTGTTCGTTTCTGTGGCTGGGGTGAGACTTTCGATGTGGACAATTGTTTAAAGCGGCAGCTTACCTTCTTCCCCCAGCGCAAGACCACTTGGCAATACTTCCCCAGATGCGGATGATACGAATCACCCGACTGAGCACGGATTCCTCGGCACCAACCTCCCATCGATCAATTTCATCCTCACTGGAATCCTTCCGTCGCGAGACAGGTGACCACGAAGACTTGGGATCGGGAGCACCATTAGTCGGTAACCGGTCGTCACCGAGAGCACCCAGACTTTGCCGGATGCTCGGAATCTGGACGCCCTGGGAGCCGAACGATTGCGGGCGGCGGGCAGCCGGCTCACTGAGACGGGACGTGCGGACCCGTTCTCCAAACGCAAAGGCGTTATCGCTGGGAAGTTGGATACCCAGCTCCTTAACACGGATCATACGCGGTCGATATTTGCCGCTGCTTAAGCAACGGTCCAGAATGAAGCATGCCCAGAAGGTGCGACGCTTCGTCTCTAGCGCGATGATATCATCCGAGGTCTGTTCTCTGGGCTCCACCGGCCGACGGGATATACCGAACATCTCGGCCTCCGTCTTCAGTAAGGGCGACCGTGGCCCGTCGCGAGACGCCAGCTCATTCTCCAGCTCGAAGGGAAGACCCATGGCTTGGGAGAGCCGGATGGCCATTCCGACATACAACCAGGCGCTCTTGCCGCGGCACATGCCCCATTCATGCAGCGCCAGCATGAGCAATGCTTGGACCCGGGTGAGGTCCGTGACCGCGAGACTGGCGCCGTCGACGCCGGCCAGCCGGCTACGCAACGCCGTCGCATAGAACTCCGAAGCGAC